ACTCTACACTTCTAAAAATTTCCTTTTCTGCCTATCCTATTTTCCCACCGCCCAGAACTCTATAACCACCGTTTTTGCAGGAAAAAAATGCTGGGACTAGGGGTATACGAGTGGCGTACTAAACTGACTAAACTTAATTTGAATAGTCTATTTAGACTTTTCAAAAAATAAGTTTTTGGCAATTCATCATCGGGCCGGTAGAATTGCATGAATACTGAAAATAGTCCATTTAGTCAGGTAATAATAAACGTCTTATGATTACAACCTACCGTTTTCACGCCGCCCGCATGGCGAGAATTGCATGTAGAGTGCCTTGCGCTGAGGGAGGGGGAGGAAATTAGGGTAGGTTGTGAGTGTCGGCCATGGTTCAGATACGTGGAATGAAAAGTACTGTCCCTTCCACGGAGGGAACAACTCACACCAGGGGTGGGGGGGGTATGCGATCGCCATCTGGCGTCGGCGTCGGCCACGGAAGTAACTGTACTAGCATACTCTGACAACACAGCACGGGATTCGCTAGCCGTATAGCCACTTCCATCGGCTGATGCTAGCACCGATTGGCGTAGGCCTTTGGAAAAGTTGGCTGGTGTTTCGTAGACAACCTGAAAAGTTTCATTATGATCGACTCGGTGATTCCCATCGACTAGATGTCCGATAATAGATCTCGAGATAGATCTATTATCACCTTTACTTAGCCAGGCCGGTATGTGTTCACATACACTCTTTTCCAGGCGCCTCCTTGTTCGGCCAATGTATACTGTTCCGCAAGAAGAAGTGAGAGCCTCTCTAGTCAGACCACGATCTTAAATGTACCAAACCGAGAGAAGTTAATTACCTTTAATGACTCTGGTTAACTGCTGTGAACAGTATTTAAGAAAGGCTCCAAGATGCAAAGGTACCTTTACAAAGGCCCATCTTGGTAGCCTAAGGGAACTTCGCAGAAAAGGAACCATCGTGCTGACCAGAGCAGACTAGAGGTACAGAATAGTACTGATGGATAAGAAGTATTACGTGACGAAACTAGAAATTATCCTAGCAGATCGTACAAAGTTCTCAAAATACAAGAATAACAAGGATTGTACAGAGGCTGTCGAGGGTCAGTTGACTCCCATTGTCAAAGACCTCAATAAAGAAGGTCTT